TTAACTAAAATAAAGACTTCATTAGACTCACGGTTGCAGTGGGTTCTTGGACACACATTTCATAAATAATTACTGGATTTACTGCACATGTATAATCAAAAAAAGTTTTCCATCATTTGCAATGGAGCCAAAGATTCATTATTTTTTGGCTTGAGATTATGATGGAATAAAGCAAAATGGCTCACTAAACTGTCTGCGCTTCTTTGTTATAGAGCAGCAGTCAGTCCATGCAATCTTGGACGCGATTTTCACTATGAATCATCCGGAAACAGTCTCTCTGCTTTAGTACAGGGGTAAGACTGCGTACATCCGACCCCCCCCTTACCCCACCGTAGGTGGGAGCCTTTGCGGCACTGGGGTAAATGAAAATGATGATGATGTATAATCAAAAAAAGGATGCATAAATATTAAGAATAGATTTGTCACAATCAATAGAAAGAAAAGAAATAAATATGACAGAGTCCAATGATGTGGGTTTTAAGAAGAACTCAAGATCAGGTTCAGTGTGTGGTTTCGTAGAAAGATTCATCGATATGAAGCGAAGACGGGGTAACGAAGCGACAACAAAAAATAATTTAACATCCTTAAATCAATTCGAAGACCACATTTTAACAAATGACACAACAACGTAAATTTCACCTGAGGTATTGATCGCAATGTTACGAGTACACGAAGTCAAATTATGTGGATGCAATTCACGGTATCGAAGCGTACGCCTAAAGTTTGTTTGATCACACTTCGTCTTGCGCCTAAAAGATTTGTAAGATGATTCTCCAAGTTCCATTTGGGAGAGCCTTAACTATGTAACATATTTAGATATACTCATCAAGCATAATAAGACAAAAAAAAACCTCACATTGACACATAATCACACACAGGAAACAAAACGTATACAGCACTTACCCCAAGCTACCTCTGAAACTGCTTGTTTCGTAAAGATTCTCCTGTAATAATCAATAAAAATTTAATACGTCTAACCAAAGCACATTAAAACATGTGTCACCATGCATATGTTTGACTATATTTTATCTATGAATGTCTTAAAAAAATTCAAAAAACATAATTATATTCTTCTTACTTTAAATTTAGAGTAAAATTTTTACTTTAAATCTGATCTGCTTAAGTCTGGTCTGGGTTGGAATTGGAAACAAAAAAAATCTTAATTTTTTGAAATTAGTTAATGACAACACTTTATATGCTTGTATTGTGGTTATATATTTTTATCTTTTCAACTAAACACCATTGTTTAACTTAAGGAAATGTGATTATGTATTAATCTTGTATAATTGGAAATCTGTTTGCTTTATGTGCATAAAATGAACTAAATTCAAGGACTACCAAACTATACATTACTTAAATGCATTGACATTAAACCCACATGTTTAGTGAGAAAAGCATGTAACTTAAAGGCCTAAGAGTTATTTAGGTTAGAAGCTTCAAGGGAAACGATCCCTAATAAATATTTAGTTATTGATGTATTTGAACTTTAAAAACGTAGAAGACAATATGTTTATTGTGGACCAAGAGAATTAACTTTACAAAAGTAATTGGTTGTTTTCTTTCTCATAGTAGTGGATTTGCTAGATTAAATGCATTCAAGTTTCTAGAATTTGTAAGAGTACTATAAATAGATGGACTTTTAAATTCATATGAGGAGTAACAATTGAAGTTTATCACGTTTATTTCTCCCTTATAGTTTATTGGGAAACATATTTTGATTCTTAAAGAATGTCTTTTCATCTGTTTCAGTAAGAAGGTTGTTTCAACAAATTTCTTTTCATGTGGTTGTGATCTGATAGTTTTTCCTGCTATTACTCAGTTTATTCATAAATAGGTCACACTATTTGTTATATTAATAGAAGTTAGGGTTGCAAGGCAATGAGGTGATTCCCTCATGTTTTCCAATTCTAGAGAATACCTGAAAAGGATAGAGGGGGACCTTTCCTACCTCAAATTCTGTTTAGAAAAGTACCTTTATGAAAAACATTAAATCCCTGATTGAGTGGAGTTTTTAACAAACACCCTACCCTAGCGGCAACCACTTCTGTCATCAAAAAATGCAGTGTAACATCCCTAATTGCATATTATTAATCATCACATACATATTATTTGGCCGAAACACTATTTTACTATATCTATTTCTTTCCTGTGATATGCTTCTTACTTTAAATTTAAAGAATAAAATTTTTACTTTAAATTTGGTCTTCTTAAGTCTGGTCTGAATTGGAATTGGAAATGGTCCGTGTAAGAACATCCTTAATTGCATATTATTAATCATCACATACAAAGATTATTTCATATCAATGATTTCTCCTTTGAGACAATTTGACAAACACTTTGAAGACCTAATAAAGAGGAATACAATCTCCATCTACTATTTATTGGCTGAGACTATTTGACAAACACCTTACGGACAGCTAATTTGTAGACAACTAATAAAGAAGAATACAATAATACTGCATAGAAATAGCACTTAGTCGACTACTCAATATCCATACTCTTAAAACTCACTGTATAGAAATTTATCACAACAATTTAATTTGAAAATCCATGGAAATCGAAAATCGAACAAGGTATATACCGTCAAAGCAACTCCACAAATCAGGAATACACGAACACGAAGCACACTGCAAACCGGAAACCCAAAGCTACAACCGACTCGTGGTAGTTGGGGGTTTGGGGCATTCCGGCCTTGGGGATTTGGCCGGGCACTCAGCGGCTCTTTCGACGAAAGATTTTTGCAGATGGACATAGAGAGCGGCTCCTTCAATGGAAGATTTCTACAGCTCGACGATGGGCTGTGCGAAATGAGGAGAGGAGATAGGTAGATTATACTGGGGAGAAAGAATGTGAGGAGAGCAGCACACCAGGCTATTAGACGGAGACAACAGCAGACAGGTCAAATGCGGGCACTGTACACCCGGAAAAACTACCATCTAAATATCTAACTCCCTTGGCCGCTTATATTTTATAGTAGATTATGAAATTGATTACTATTATATATTGTTATTAGTATGGAGTATTATTTTTTATTTTATAACTATTATTATATTAGTATTAGTAAATATATTTTTAAAAATATAGCAAAACTGGTTAAATCCGGTTCAAACCGGAATAATCCGGTTTTAAACCGGAACCGGACCGGAAACCGGTTTCCTAAATTTTCATAACCAAAAACCGGACCGGATATCATTCCGGTTTGGTATGGTTCCGGTTTTTCCGGTCCGGTTCTGTCCGGTTTTTCGGTTTAAACCGGATAGTGCACACCCCTAATCTACGTAGACGCATTTACGAGTTTGGATTATTTGTATTGATTTTTCAGTAGAGATTATTATTATAGAACCACCAAAAGTACACATTATTGGTATGAATTTCACCGTAAAAAAATTGTGGCTTCATTTAATTCACTCTCCTCTGCACAAATCTCAACCACTAAGTTTTTAATTTATTAATCTCAATGCCGATCAAACTTGGCAAAGTTTTAAGGGACGGATTTAGTATAAAATTATTAGTAATATAATTAAAATTCAAAGGAAAAAAACCCCTAGGCACCCTAGTTGATGCCTAGGCGCCCGCCTAGGCGGGCTAGGCGCTAGGCGGCCTGTCACCATCCGACTGACGCTTATCGCCTTTTAGAACACTGTTTCTAGTACAATGATTTAAATGATTAATTTAAAATTTAAAGTAGTACATGAATTTCATTTGTATTTGCTTTCCCCCATTAAAAAAATTCAAGTATATTAACATAAGTGATAAGGGTGGTGTTAACTAAGGATGTTTTTACTTGGACTGTAATTCGTCTCAGACCAGACCAGACCAGACCAGACCAGTTCAGACCAGACCAGACCAGACTTGAATAGTTATAAAAATTCAAAGAAACCAGACCAGACTAATTCAGACCAGACCAGACCAGATCAGACTAAACCAGACCAGACCAGCAAATTACAGTCCAAGTAAAAACATCCTAAAAACAAAACAAAACAAAACCAAAAAGAGGTTGCAGGTAGGGGTGGGCACGGTTGGTTAACCGCATTTTGGTTAACCAATTTTCGGTTAACCGTGTTATCGGTTACTAAATTTTATATACCGTTTCCCGTACCATAACAATGGTTAACCGAGTGTCGGTTAACCAATATTTCGGTTAACCACTAACGGAGTAACGGTTAACCAATAAATCATAAGTTGTTGTTTTTAAATTGATAGTTTATTAGTTCACTCCATATGCTTATCGGTTCGTTCATCACGGATTTCTCAAATCTCATAGTTGAAGCCTGTAGAAATTCATCAATTTTTTCAGTCTTCATGCTTCTCTGTCTCCCCTATACTGATTGTGGTAATTCAGTAATTGTATCACCCACGTGTTTGGGGAAAGTTCTCAGATGGGCCATTTGTCCACTGTGGCTGGGAGCAATTTTGTTCATTTACCCAAATTGGCCTAAGTAAATGGGTTAAGAATATTGGCATCCAAACATGTTCTTAAACAAAATTAAATGGCCATGTTCTTCCGTCGGCCATGGCCTCGTTGCCAGGCTGCCCTTGCCTCTTAGGATAGAGTTTGTTGCTGCCAAAGTGAACTGATGGTCTCGGGTGTCAGTTTTATGAATTCGATCATATTGGATATCTGGAACAGAAAATACACTGTAATTTGAAAATTGATAAGCAAAATGTATGTACAAATTCTTCACTTTGTATTAACGGTTAACCGGCGGGATTTAATTTCAAAACCATAATTGTACCGTAAACCATTTTTTTCTAACGGTTGGTTAACCGTACCACAAAATTTTAAAAACACGGTATGGTTAACCAAAAAAACATCGGTTTTCCGATTATTTACCGCGGTTAGTCGGTTACGGTTTTTCTTGCCCACCGCTAGTTGCAGGAATTGGATTAAAGCGTATCTGAAGGACTAGTTTGGTCCATTGGGGTTTGGGCGAACAATTTGACGTAACAAATCTGTAACATGAACAAATACGGCCCAATATCAAATGTAAGCCTGATCCGGAACAAGTCCTCCATAAATACTGGTCCTCCTTCCCACGCTGCATCTCATTTCCCTCCCCTTTCTAGCTGTTTTTACATTTGGTTATTTTTTTATTTTTTTTATTCTGTATTCTGATATCGTTTCGGATAGCTCTTCGGATTCTTCAATTTCATTGAGTTACTATTGGAATTGAAATCTGAATCCGACTGGGAAGCTGGAACAGGCCGACAGGAGATCTGGTTCGGTCTATGGACTATGAAGTAATTGACAGCAGCGGTGAGTTTCTCTTTATTTCATCTCTTCACGCGTTTGTAAACTATTTTCAATTTGCGGAAAGCTTATGTAATAGACTCAATAATTATAATCTGTTTCAATGTTTCATGCTGTATGTTTTTCTCTAGATTTTAGAGGTTTAGGTATTTGCGGTTTACAACCGTATTTCTTTCTCTATTGCATTTGGATGGGCTATTTACATTGACTCGAGATATATACTGCTCCATTTTTGCCCAGAAAAGGATTATGATTCGTGTAGAAGCCTATTATTTACTATGTAGTGCTATTTTCTATCTTTGCCGTGGATAGGGGAGATGGATTAAACATGTTCTGTAGTTTATCTATTGGAATCATGCTTCCATACGCATATAGAGTCCCCTGCCGCTTTGTTCTGTAGAAATTAATTTCATTTGCATTGTGGTACTACAATAAATTTAGGTTTAATGTCAGCCATATGATGCGTTGGGATAATTTACTTCGGGTGTTTTGAATGAAATTTAGTATGCTCATGGTGGCTTTAATTTTGTATTGTGGTTAACCGTAACTCAAATATTGTCCGGTATATATGGCTGTATATCTAATTTTAAATATTATATATTACTCCCTCCATCTTGCTAATCCGTCCTGCTAAGATTGTCCCATTTTACCTTTTCGGGAAATCCCACTAAGACTGCCTCATACTCCCTCCGTTCCTATTATATCTTCCAACTTTCCTTTTTCATCCGTTCCAATAAAATTTCCACTTTCCCCATTTGGTAAAGAATTTGTGGTTCACAACATTTCTTACACATTTCTCTCTCCTCTGCACAACTCTCCACCACACAATACCTATTTTTCTTAAATTGTGTGTCAATGAGAAACGGAAGATAAAATGGGAACGGAGGGAGTACCAAATTTGGTAAAGTTTGTGTGGCTCTAAGTGATTTATACTTTATTCTTACTTTATCAATTCAATATCAACCACATAAACTCATTTTTCTTAATAACCGTGTCACCCTCTACTTGTTATGGGGATTGAGGATTATTCCTACAAGACAAGTTCTATTCATGGTGCTGCATATGTTTGTCTTGATTTTACATTATTTCTTTTTCCTTTACTCCCTGGCCTGAATGCATCATACTATTTTGAATCTTCTCTAGTGTTGGTAGTGTAGACACCGATGATGACCTGCCCCAACCACAATATACTGGAGCTCCCACAAGAAACACTTTTGCTGGAAATGGAAGGTCAAATGTAGCTCCTGCTCCATACCAAAGCATGTATAACAATATGGAAGCCCAAATCCACACCCTTGAACAGGAAGCATATGGTGCAATACTAAGAGCTTTTAAAGCACAATCGGATGCCCTAACATGGGTAATGTGGGTTTTCTAGTAAGCACGCTTTAAACCTTTGAGTAGTTAAGATGACTTATTGTGTTATATTCCTCAGGAGAAGGAAGGTTTAATAACAGAACTCAGGAAAGAGTTGAGAGTATCAGATGATGAACACAGAGATCTACTGACAAAAGTCAACGCTGATGACCTCATACAGAAAATAAGGGAGTGGAGAAAGGTTGGTGGAAACCAACCTGTTCATGAACTACTTGTCACTTCTACAATATCAGGATCCCGCAAAAGGCAGAAAACCTCTCAAGGGATGCATCTACCATTTGGTGCATCATCAGATTCCTTACACCATCAATCAATTACTCCATCTACTCAACCATCGACTCCATCTGCAAAGTGGGGACCACCACCGGGTGCTGGAGGCAAAAGTCACAAACCTGTATGTTGTTAATTTGTGTGCATGTGTATTCTTAATCTTCTTTGAAGCATTCATTGTTGGTGCATATTTTTTGCAATGTTTGCATAGTATTAAGATCCTATTGGGATGCATTCACGCATTCTAATTTTATGTTGTCTTGTCTAAAGGCTCAACCAACATCATTGCCATATCAGGTTGCTGGCCGTGGTGCTACAACCACCACAAGATCCCGTGACCCATTGGTTGGGAGAAAGGTTATGACTAGATTTCCTGAAGACACCAACTTCTATGAGGCTGTCATAAGCGACTACAACCCCAATAATGTATGCCTAGATTCTCATCTATATTTTTCTAAAAGTAAGATTGTGATTGTAGCACACCACAAGTTTATGTATTATTTCCAAGTCCCGTAGAAGTTTCATTGTATTCTTAGTAAGCGATGTGAATTATAAATCCCTTTGTGGAGGCGGGGTAGGTTATAAGGTGTTGATGATGGCAACATCCAAATGAAACATGGGAATGGGTTGACCTTATGGTGTAAAATTTCAATCACTGATCACTGTTAGTTGGGATTAAGACACTGGTGTTAATGTTGTTGCTATTGGGAGATACTGTAGTTGAGGATCCAGGTATGTGTTATATAATGTGAGATATAAGATTTAACCTAATATTCTTGGTTTTGCATATGCTGAGTTTTTCCCCCAACTCATGTGTCTATTTAGGCATTTGAAAGACATGTTTTTGCCTGTGTGTTGTCATGTTTTAATTTGGATTTTTCTCTTTTCAGGTATTTGTTTTCTAAAAGTACAACAAAATCCAAGACTTAATCCCATGCATTATTGATTTTGACACTTATTTCAGTAATGTTTTATGAAAGATTTGTTATATGAAATGCCAAGAGGAAGTGGCAGGAAACACATAGAATTACTTCACATTTAAGAATTAGAAGTGGTGGCTCAAATGTTATTGTTGTGTTATTTGTTTTCTGGGAACAAACACAATTTCAGAATCTTTCTATTTTTTCTCACAGTATATTTGAACTTGTTTTATAGGGTCGCCATGCTTTGGTCTATGATGTTAATACACCTAATGAAACTTGGGAATGGGTTTATCTTAAAGAGGTACTTATCTACTATCTTTTTTATCTGTGATCATAAGTGCTGTTTAAGTTACCTTTGTGGCTCCAAGCATCACCTGGGAAATAGGCCAATTTTCACTATGGGTCATCCGGAAACGGTCTCTTTGTGCTTTAGTACAGGGGGTAAGACTGCATACATTCAGACCCCCTTACCGCGCCGTAGGTGGGAGCCTTTGCGGCACTGGGGTAATGATGATGATGATTAATTTTTGGTACTGCAGTTGTATTCGATATAAAAGTAATTGAACTCATCCTTTTGCTTCTGATTTTAAATCTGTGTAAAGAATCTCTTGTTAACATCTTTTTACTGCCTGCATTAGTACATTTCTTGTTTGAATGCCAGTCTGCAGTATTACTTTTCAGTTCAGAATTCCAACTTAATCCTCAGTAGTCAATATGCAGAACTATTTTTTTTTCAGAATTAATCTTCAATGACACTTTCTTTTGGGACTAAGGCTGGGTTTTTGTTGTTGTTGTTGTGGTGGTGGTGGTCTTATCATTTCTATTGCAGTCTTTTGAGTGCTGTTGACTTGCAATCCTGAGGGAGTTTGAAAATGTAGCTTTACCACAGTTTCCATGTTAGTGAAGATGCAACATAGCATGCATTGCACAATTGATTTAACAATTCATATAAGAGTTGCTATATACTACATATTATGTATTTAAATATTTAAATGTGTGTGTGACCAGAAGTTCAAACAGGTACATCGTCTGTTTTTTATGGTTTGTAGCCATTTGTTTGGTTCTTTCATCTTATGTTATTATTTGGCCCCTTTTATCCATCTTGTATTGTAAAAGCTATATGTTGTAACTTATTGAGAAATGTACATTTCATACCTTGATAGAAACTGTTGATCATGTGATTATAGAAATATCTGAGCTCATGATGCAATTATTTGACTGTTGTAGTTGAAATCCGGTTGCGAATCAACTAATTTACTGCATAATCACTCATTATTGAAACTCTCTTTTTATACCTTTTAGGTTACTAGCTTCATCCTTACAAAGAGTCATGTTCACTCACCTCTTCCTAATTATTGTACGAAACCCTAGGAGTGTAATCATTCTTCTATTTTTCTGTTTTGCAAGCTTTTAGCTAAACTCATAATATATGAACTTCACACTCTTTTGAGTGTGTGGAGATTACAGCAAATTTAAAAAACTAGCTTCTTTTGTTTTAGGACTTCTGTGGGATAATTAAGGTGTTTTGGAACATGACTCTTTTTAGATGAATGGAGCTTTTGCTTAAATGAAAAATTCAAGTATGGTGCTGAAATTATTTCTCATTTCTTATAGTATGTATATAAATACTATCTCCTTTCCTTTATTTACTAGTTGCTCCTATAAGGTTTTCATAGAGAATAAAGGAGAAATGATGAAAAATTAGAAAAAGTGAGAAAAATGGGATGAAAAGGGTAAAGTTGGGGTAAAACTAGCCAATTAGGAAATGGAGGAAATAATAGAACTTCCGAGAAAGGAATACAGAACGACTAATGAAAAACAGAGGGATAACATCATTTCTCATTTACCCCAGTGCCGCAAAGGCTCCCCACCTACGGTGGGGTAAGGGCGGTCAGATGTACGCAGTCTTACCCCTGTACTAAAGCACAGAGAGACTGTTTCCGGATGACCCATAGTGAAAATCCCGTCCAAAATTGCATGGACTGACAGCTGCTTCATAACAAAGAAGCGCAGACAATTTAGTGAGCCATTTTGCTTTACATAATCTAAAGCCAAAAAATAATGAATCTTATTCCAACAGAGGGATAACATACATTCTATTTTATTAATTAATTTATTTGAGGCTGTAAAACTAAAGCCCTTATTCATGTAGATTCCACCTGATGATATTCGATGGGTAGGTGATGATCCTGGTATATCTCGTGGTGGAGGTAGTAGTCAAGTTCCTGCTTTTAGTATTCAGAGGGGTGGAGGTTTCTCAAGGGACCAATACCATACGGAGGTTCGGCCACTACAGAATGGTGTGGCTACGCAGAAGGCAGCTAGTGATGAAATTGAAATACTGCACACAGAAACTTTGATTAAGAAGGTATCCATTAAATGGCTACCATTATTATTAGGTATTCATGTACAATGCATGTAGATATTAAACATGAGTACTTTATTGAAACAACAGGTAGAAAAAGTAATGGATGCTAATCCTCCTAATCTGGTCGAGATTCAAAAGGCCAAGAAGATGCTGAAGGTTTCTTCTATAAGCTAAACTGTTGTATATGTATATCTCCCATCCCGGATTTGCATTCATATCTTAAGCATCTAAGTATTGAACTGTGCAGGATCATGAACAAGCATTAATGGAAGTCATTGCCAAGCTAGCTGAAGCTTGTGATAGAGGAGAAAATGGTATGACACGCACGCACGAACTATACTTCCAGAAATGGAAATTAACTTAGACTATGGGGCTCCCTCTGTCCCTAAGTTCACATGCATGTTTGACCGACACTAGTAATGAGAAAAAGGAAAGTATGTGGTCGAAATTTATTTCGAGGTAGGAGAAATAATATAAACCATGTAATGCTTTCCTAAAACGGAATTGAAGAATATGTAGACGGAAAAGGAAAGTGCGGTCAATTTAGGGACAAACCAAAAAAGAAAGTGTATAATTTAGGTTTAGAGGTAGTATTATGGCGTAGTTTGGTGAGACATGATGAAATGTATTGTAGAAAATATAGCGATGTGTAGTACAAGTCTTTTGAGTTGTTAATCCTTTGCATACATGATTCAATATGCACTTATGTGTTTTCTAATTGGCGCAAGTAACATTTTCTGATCATTCAGATGGGCAGCCCAGAAATTCACAGTACAATTACTTGGCGGCAGCAGGGGGTGTAGAGGCTGAGAAGAGGGGGCGTGGGAGCAGTCAAGAAATGGCAGAGGGCAGAGTTCAAGGGATGTCTGATCATCAGGATGAAGACATAGTTGTCATCTAAGGGTTGCCTTCTTGATAAGCCCATATTCAACAATGCATTTTGGATATCAACTTCAGGTAGGGCTTTTCAGGAGTTTTATGTCTTCATTTTTCACATGTGAATAGCATTCTGTTGGCGGCAGCTACAAGCCTACAATACTTGCCTGGGGAAAGGAATGCATTACCACACCGGACAGTGTAGATTTTCTTTGTATATTCACATTTGAATTGTTGTGTTGTCTCCCGTCTCCTTCAAATATATTAGCCCTAAAACATGTCAAGGCATGCATCTTTTATGTGATGCGCATCAGCACAAATTCAATTTAGATTCAATATGAAATATTAGCCTAGCAGAAAATTATAAGGATTTGGTGCAGTTACTCACCTTTCAATTATATGGTTTTGGTTATTTCTGTAATGATTTGGTGCACCCTTTCTCAAATTATAGTCAATAATACAATATAATGTAAACATAATCCATTAGTTCCTCTTAGGGATGGACCCGGGCCGGGCCCGGGCGGGCTTTTTTTGTAGAAACATGGGCCCGGAACTGACCTGGGCTGATACCGGGTCTGGTCTGGGTCGGGCCTACCCGGTCGGGTAGTGGGCTGGTTCGGGCCGGGTCTGGGCTATTATTATTATTTTTTGTTTAAATATTAAATTAAGATTAGTTGGACATAAAAAATTTAAAATATATTTGATTGAAATACGTAGTACAATTGGAAATTGAGCAAAAATTAAAACATGAAATACACTTTTTAATAAATAAGAATCAATCAGAATTTCCGTCATCTTCGGTCGTTTCTTCCATAAAGTGGTGGGTGAGTTCAATGCTAATTTCTTGAGTTTTACGTTTGGCTTTCAACCAATCATGGAAGAAAACAAGCGTCTTGAGAGTTTGCGTTCAAACTCGTTCTATAATCCGTTAGGACGTTGCTTATCGCACTAAACTCTTGTTCCATAGCAATTGTTGATACCGGCATTGCTAGCACTTGCTTAGCCATCTTTGATAAGATCATGAATGTTCTCTTTTTCCTTCCACCACTTTGTTCATTAACCGGAGTTGATTTACTTTTATTCATAAGATTACCAAATGCAGATTTCAAAATTGATTTTTCTTTAAATAAAGAAGATTTCGTGGCGGTGGAGGGGGTGCGTTATCATATTGTGCATGAAACTCATTAAATAATTGATATAATAAATTACTAACCTCTTGAAATTGTTGTTTCGGGTCTATAGCCTTCTCGTCGTACGTAGGGAATTACTAACTACTATGATAGGATATTAATAAATGTAACAATTAACTAGTTTAACAATTAAACAATTCATTTCGAATTAACTAGTTTAACAATTAAACAAACCATTATTGTCTAACAATTTTTAATGTAACTATTTTCAATAAACTAACAACTAACAATTAACTACTTTTATAGCAATGAACTAATACTAAAATGATAAGTGAAACAATTAACTAGTTCTATATTAATAAAGAATGTATGAGTGTGTAAACTAAATTAATGGGAGTGAGAGAGTGTATAAGCATTTGGATAAATAGATAATAAGTGTATAGGTAGATATACTTAAAAAACAAATGTCCCTCGGCATTTTTCCCACTGAATTTGGTGGTTTACCTTCCGGGGGTTAACAAAAAAAACTTAATATATATATTTATAAGTAGATAATAAGTAGATTAACTAATAAAATATAATATTGTGTCTATAGTATATATAATATAAGTATATTACTATAAGATTAGTAATACACTTATATATAATACTTTAATATAAATAAGTATATATTAAGTATATCTAAAATGTAAATATAAGTAAATAAATTAGAGATAATTATATATGTAATATGTAAATATAAGTAAATAAATATAAGTAACAATAATATAATAATTAGATATTAATATAAGTAGATAATAAGTAGATAATAAATTTTATAAATATAATATATGTAGTTATAAATTTGAGAAGATGAAGATGGAGAAGATAAGTAGAGAATAGAGATTATAGAGTAGGAATATTTGGAGAAGATTTGTAGTAAATTGTATAGAAAAAATGGAGTATTTATAGATTTTTTGTACCCCCACCCCCCCTAACCCACCCCGTGACCCCCTGGAAGGCTCCCAATGACTATATAGCCGTTTGAGTTGAATTACAACGGCTCTAAGGCCTGTTTGGGTGGCCAAAAGATTTTTTTTTTAAAAAAAATAGCCTTTAGGCCCGGACCGGGCCTGAACCGGCCGGGCCGGGCCGCCTATTTCATGAACCGTGCCCGAACCGCTCCCCTCCCCCGGGCCGGGTCAAAGCCCGAACCTTCCATTACTTAACCGGGCCGGGCCGGGCCCGGGCCGGTTTGGTCCATCCCTAGTTCCTCACTTCCTCTTATAATAACTTTTAAAGTATATACTATAAACATTATATTATACGTAGTATATTAGTTACACTTCAATTAATACAACCATAAATTTATAAGAGTACTATTTGTAACGTTCTCATTTGTTGCATACTCATACTATTTGCATTTTTAGTTACTTAAACTACACTTTTTAGTTACTTAAACCACACTTAAACTTCATTAATATTTAGTTAATAAAACTACACTTGGTAGATTAAATAATTATAAAAGTAGTTTCATTTTTAGTTAATTAAACTAGTAAAGTGGTTCAAATTTTAGTTAATTAAACTACACTTGTTAGATTAAATTATAAAAGTAGTTGCAATTTTAGTTAATTAAACTAGTTTGAATTTTAGTTTTTTTTTGAAAGGAAATTAATTCATTAATCAACTCAAACTCTCAGTGTGTAGCTGAGAGATAATACAATCAGGCGGATTACAAACCACGTAAAAACCATCCGACATAGAAAGAGCAGTCCTAGCTAAGTTATGAACTACTACATTCACGGACCGTCTACGACGAATGACTTCTATCCTACCTTCATTACGAAGATTGAGTCTTATGTCATCTAATATAGTATCCAAATAGGCATCTCCATCTCATTTAATTAAACCAGCCGCAATCACATGAAAATCTGTCTCCAATTCTATCCTTCCCCAATTCTTTGTTTCTGCCCAGGCCAGCGCCTCACGTACTCCAATTGCTTCAGTGATCTTCGCTGACCAGTTTGCGCCTTCCACATTCCATTCACTGCCAATAAATCTGCCATGTGCATCCCTGACTACCCAAGCCCATGCTCGCCTATTATTGTGTAAATCTTGCGTCGGGTCCACATTGATTTTAATTTTGCCTTCCGCTGGTTTTTTCCATCCAGTCGCCTGGCGTGTCACCCTTGTTGTGCCTCCGGTCACTTTCTGAGCTGTCTTCCACCCGCGTAGAACCGCTGCTCCCATCTCCAAGCATTGGCGCCAATCCGAATCTTGGTTCCTCCAAACTTCGTCATTCCGGATCTTCCATATACTCCAAAGATTAGCAATAAAAATACATAAGTCTTCATCCTGCAAATTATCACAAAAGTTTTTAATCCAGTCAGTAAAAGTCTGCCCTTGCCGGACATATCGGGCCCCCAGTTTCCTCCACACCATATAAGCTATCCTGCAAGATTTAAATGTGTGTTCTTCTGATTCATCCTCCTCTGCACAAACTTTAATTTGCACACACTTTCGATCTCCACATGCCTGCTGCGAAGATTATTCGTTGTAGGTAGGCATCCCGTCATCACCTACCATACAAAGCATTCATTTTTTGTGGAATTTTAGGATTCCACATCTTCGTCCATCCCATCCACCCCTGACTCGTGTGCTCCCCACGAAGTACCTTGTAACCGCTCTTTACTGTATAGATTCCTCTGTTGTCTTTTTTTGGATGAAAGGTAAGTATATATTAGGAACCATCCAAAGAGTTTATATGTACATCAAAAGGGATGGACAAAAATGTAGGTTATCCAAAACAGGTTGGATAACCCTATCACCGCCAAAAATACCCAAGCTATTACTCAAATAGCCAAAACTGCCAATATATGAGCTTCTACGAGAACACACACATGCATCTAGGTGATGATAAGTTTCTCAAAACATTACAATTTCATATGGATAAATACTATACAAAACTTTGTACGCCATGTACTTTATCTTTGCAACAACCTCTTCTTCTTTAGGTAAGAGTCCATCAAATCTCGTGGCATTCCTCACTCTCCATATCCAATAGATCGAGTAGCAAAATGCAATTCTTGATGCTTTGGCTTGGATAGTTGCGCCACTCCTTTCCTTCTCGATCCATTTTACCGCACTCGTCAAGGATCCCATCAACCGAGGGATTTGTAGCCAATCCTTTACCATGCTCCATATTTTTCCTGTAAAAGAGCATTCAAAGTATAGGTGTGGGACTGTTTCCAGCCCACCCTTACACAAGGCACATTTGTTGACTACATCTAATCGAAGGAGATTATCATATGTAGCCAACCTATTTCGGAATGCCAACCATGTGGTAAAGGAAAACTTAGAAGGGATGTAATTTTTCCAATCAAAGGACATCCACCAACGGGTGTGAGCCTTAACCCTAAGTAAGTTGTACACTTTTGAGGACATAAGTTTCCCATTAGTTTGCAAATTGATTAATCCGTGAATAGCTTCATTAGTGCCCTCAAATTTAGTTAAAAAATCATCTCTAATTGAGGCAATTTTCTTCATTAAATGGGAGTCCCTATAGTGTGGGGAAAAGTCCCACACATTTCAACCCTTTAGGTACACCCCATGGACCCACTTGACCCAAAGTGTGTCCTTTTTTGTATGTATATCCCAAAAAAAATTTGCAAGAAGAGATGAGTTCCATACACTAGTATCATGAATACCAAGTCCATCTTCTTCTTTGGGAAGGCAAATATCAGCCCAGGAGACCCTAGCAAGTTTACCCCCCAAAGGAAAATACGGCAAATGGAGGTGATCCTATCAAGGATGGTTCTAGGGATAGGAAAAATTTGAAGCCAAAAAGAGTGCACACCCTGTATAACATATTTGATTAATTCTACCCTTCCAGCATATGATAAGGTCTTAAGATTCCAAGCACTAATGAAATTAATGATGGACTCTAAAAGAGGGGCATATTGTGCCACATAAACCTTCAAAGGAGCCAATGGCACACCAATGTATTTAACAAGGAAAGACCCAACTTTAAAATCCACCAAATCAAGGATACTATTAAGTTCATAATCAGTCATACCTCCAAGAAAGATATTAGACTTGTCATAGTTTACTTTGAGACCAGATATGCTACCAAACTCTTCCAACGAATCAATTAGGATTTTGATGGAAGGTTTGTGCCCTTTGGAGAATAGCATCAAGTCATCCGCATAGGCAACATGGGTAATCTTCAAACTTCCACATATAGGATGGAATTTGAATGATGGAACCTGTGTTCTAACATTTAACAAGCGTGATAAATATTCCAAGCATAATACAAAAAGA